CCAGTTACAAATCAACTCAAATACTGTAATAAAAAGTTATGTAATGCTGTGTTTATCCATGAATAAATTGGACTTTTCTTTTTTAAATGTATAATCCCATTTTCTTTGTACAGATGGGGCAACACTCCCATGGATGAGGCCGTGCACTTCGGCCACCATGATGTTGTGACCATCCTGCAGAGCAACTATGACAGATACAGCGCCCCTGCTGTGGCCGATGAAAAAGAGAGCGCAGAGAAGAGCCTGGACAGTTTGCTGTAGGCCGGCTGCACACGTCTGCAACACGTCAGGCTTCACAGTGCTTTGTACACCAGCGCTCAGACATTTCAAATGTGAGGTGAATCGTGGCTGTGTCTCGCTGCTTTGCTTTCTGGGACCTCTCTCACAATGTGACGTGTGTGTTGTTTGTGTGAGTGAGTGTCTGGTCAATACACTTTAGACAAATAATACAATATAAATATCTGTGTTTACAGCACAATGCTCACGTTATACAGTAAAACACATCTGTTAGTTTAGTTACAGTAAAGCTCTGTTTATACTCTCCTCTCCCTGGTTCTATAATGGTAATACTAGTTTTGTGAGACAGTGAGGTGTTTGGAAATGATGCTATAGATTGTATGAAGTGTCTCTGTTTGTGTAAACATGTACAAACTCAGGCATCATGCTAATGCTGCAGTTACGTGCCTGTTTGATCTCCTTATACCTGCATCTGTTCTCCATGTTGTTCTCCTGACTGCTGCGAGGACAGTCACAGCTTTTATGAAACTTCACTTCTGATTTGAAGTCATAGAGAGATTATATTCTGAATGTAGGACACACTTGCAATAGAAGCAGTGCGTATTTATTTCACAAAAAAAAAACTTTGCGTGTAAAATTCAATTTAGATGTAAGAGAGTGTTATTTGTTGCATTTGAGATAAAGGCATATTGGTTTCTCTATTTTTTCTACATTTTATCTGTGTATGTTCAGGTGTATATATATCTAAGATATGATTTACAAGATTCAAGTTATGCCGTAGCATTCCAAGTGGTTTTTCATGGTCTTATTGTACACATGTACCAACACACACACACACACTGCATGTGTTTTCATCCGTTTGAACATTTTATTTGACAGCTTCAACTTTTGAAAAACAGAGAAAGCAGAAGTAAGCACAAAATGTGTACTATGGAGACCCTCAAGTGAAAAAACAACACTGAAGTACAAAAGCACAATTGAACACATAGTTAAATATAAAAATGAAAAACAAGTTATGAAAAAAGTATCAAACTCATTTTATGATGTCACGATTATGATCAAAGATGTAAATTGATGAATCCCTCTTAATTCAAATTTCTTTTAGACGGTCTTTTCCTCCTTTGTCATGTGTTGTAGTCCACGACGTTGGTATCATATGTAACAGAACATAAACACCTTCTTCCTACTTTCATTTCTGACATTACACACAGACCCTGGACAGGACAGGTCATATACAGCCATGCTCGCATACTATCCATAGACTGATGTGTAAAGATGGACAGCACGTCTTCACTTCCTCCCACTATCCAGACACGAAGCCAAAATATTCCAGAAAAATGCTGCCATCTTGTGCATTTAGAGCCAGAGTGGTTGAATATCCTACATTTTCAGAAATCCAACATTAGTGAGTCTGAGTCATCCTCTGGGGACCATGCAATCATTTTATTAGCTAGAATGTTCAAGGACTGACCTATGTTGCCATAGAGCCATGCAGCTAGCATCACTAAAACTGAAACAATCAAATGTGCTATGAGAGAAAATAGGCAAATTAAGAAGTTGCCTGTATCGTTAACAAACATTTTCAAGCTACAGTACATTCACGTAGGTTAAGTTTAGAAAGGTGTTTATTTTAAATTCTGTTGTCAGGGAAATCTGCGGATCAGGTAAATCGTATTTATTTGATCAGCTGTTAATGTGTCTAGATAAATACAGGGTTTCATCTGAACAGAAAACAGAAATGATTCAGCTCACAGTGATTCACCATGTGTGGTCAATTATACAATTTGAATCAGCAGGTTTACACTGAACACATATTTCAGTAGATGTAATGTAATATGCAGACTTTTTAAATAAATGTTTCCCCTTTATTAAGTCACTGATTTCTAAAGAAATCTTTGTTGGTCTTTTCTAGCATGGAAATCACCTTAGGGATTTTCTTAAAAAAAATTTTTTTTTAAAAGCAGCTGAGACATAAAATATAACTATAAGTATTGGTTCAATACTAAAGAGGATATTTTTGGGGGAAATGGGGTTTAATAAACGAAAGTAATAAACGTCAGCAGTACAGCATCATCATTTTTCATCATCATCATTTGCTCAACAGCTTCATAAACGTAAAAAAGCAGCAAGTGCAACATAATAAAATACATGAACCAGCATCCTCTCGTTGCTTTGCATCTTTGTGCGATATATACATTTACCAGAACCTTTAAAACCACCCAGTTAATTTAGTCATCCGTTTTTACTTACTTAGTAAAATGCTCACATGTCACACACTGGTCATTCCATGAGTTAGATTTTGACTTTGTTCTGACAACAGCCCCTTTTCAGAAGGGGAATAACGGATCAGATAAGTTGATCTCAGTTAACGCAACAGCTTGATGAGTCGTCACGGAATGGGTAACAGGTAAATCTTGGAGATATTCAAAGAGTTCATGGATCCGCTGTTGTTCCTCTGCCTACAGGAAAAAAATATATTTACATTAACTGCAGAGTAAAAGTCTGAAAAAATAAAATCCAATCGTTTCATATTAGTCAAATCTGTGATGACTGAAATGTGGAGATTGTCAAAGCTATACTTTTTATATTGACAGTGGATCTAAGGACAACAGTGTGTGTGATGATAGAGCTCAGTGTTGTGGGTCCTGCTCCATACCCATCTCTCTCAGTATTACCCACTCTGCCTGTCCACCGCCAAACAGCACACAGACACAGGCAGCTGGTAACGTAATGAAGAATTTAGCGGCTAAAGAGCATTTATTTTGGCGTGATTGAGACCAAAACAGCTCGAATAAGAGTGAAAACTGGACTTTAAACTCATCAGGTGGCCAGAAGCAGAGTCTGAATGTGTGTACATAGGAAACACCTCTGTAAGATGATAACATGTACATGAGTTGGCAGCTATAAAGCACAGCAGCAAAACTGGTAATAAAATTTCAAACTCACACTGGTGTCTGGGTCGATTTCCATGTGCCGAGGCGGAGATGAAGGTGGTGTAGGATAGCTGCAGAAAAAAAAACATTACAATTGTGCTACACAGCAGGACACAAAACAAATTGGTCAAATAATTGTGATGCGAAACATTTACCCATGTTTGTTTGGTTTAATAACTTACACTGAGAAGGGGACGAGTGTTCTGTCAATGTATCCGTTTATGTCCTTTTTAGGGGCCGACTTGTCTGCACAAACATGATTAGAGATCAGATCATGTTCAATAAAGAATTGTTTGCTTGGACTCATATGACAGACTGACTTTATAACATTAGCATTCAAAATCCATTTGTCATTGCATTAGACAGAAATTCTTGTTCATCTATAGTTGCACTTGGTGACAAGTAAGAGACCATACCACTGCTGCAGAAGCGTCCAAAGGCAGCGTCTCGGTGGATGTCTGGGTAAAGATAGAGCAGAGGATTCCTGGACATGTTCCCCTGCACTCTCAGACTGTAGAGGTAGATAATGTCTGGCAGAGACATGGCTTTCAGATCCTTCTTGGTGTAGGGTTCTACTGCATGCACATGGGCCTCTACAGAGGAAGCAAATGGACAGAGAAAAGTAAGCAGACACGAGAGGACATTCATTCAACTCCGGACAGATGAGCGTAGGCAGCAGCAGTGACGTAAGGAGAAGGGGGAGTTGGTGTGTGAGTATTGAATTGTAGGTCACCCATTTTTACGAACGTGTGTCCAACTTCTGATTTCTGTTCATATGGTGCATCATGTTGCCATGTCCTGGTTTCACTCTCCCCATGTTTTGCCATTTTACATTAATTAAACCACAGCTGACCAAAATGTCTGATGTCAGAAATGACGGAGCTGAAATTGAGTCGTGCATCTCGGAAATCAGGGCAAAAACAGGCTCAAATTGTAGCGTGTATGTTCAGCTTTAAGCTCTCTAACAGCAGATGATGTGTGGGCTGATATGAAAAGGCGAAATTGACATAAAAATAGTTTTTGCAGCGCCTTGTTTTCCAAAAATACTGTCCGTAAAAAATCATCCCAAACACGTTCATGAGCAGAAACGTACCACCATTGCAGTGTTCAACCCAGCTGAACGTGATTGCTCCGTCTTTGTTGCTCTCGCTGAAGCGGAGCAGAAAGGTCCCGGTCTGTTTTTCCTGCAGCAGCACATGTGTCGTCTTCCTGCTCACGAACCCCATGATGTACCTGAAACCCACCGGCACAATATAACAACAGGTTTGTCAGCTGAGAAGCAAAGTGACCTGAGCCCCACATAACAGTGATAGTAATAAACATAATCAGTTGTCACAGGTGGACCAAAATCTCATTATTTATATGGTTATTATTTGTGGATGATACGATTATACACAATGAAGCTTTACAACAGGATTTAAGATGTGTGTTACCTCTCACGCCAAAGTTCCACCAAGTGTTTTTTGATCAAATCCAGGATTCCATCGATCCAAATCCAAGTATTTTCATTCTGACACGCAAGAAAGCATCAAAGTAACATGTAAAGAGCATATTTACACACACAGGTTGTGCTAATTGACTAATCTACAATATGGTAAGGATCTTGTTCAACTCTCACCTTGAATCTGCTCCAAGGAATGAGACCTTCGGGATCATCTAAAGAGAAACTCAATGACATTAAAATGGCGCAAAAATAATATGAACTTTAAATTAAAGGACTTATCTTTACAGGCAATGAACACAAGAACCAAAAAATCAATAAACGAGGAAAAAGATGAGAGATTTGTTTTCTCTGTTTCTCTTCCGTCAAGTTAGAAACGTCATCAACACTTCCACCTGCTCGCTGTGGATTTTCAAAACCTTTTCTTGCTTTATTGTCAAATTGACTCTCAGACATTTTACTAAGGGGCTGGCAGGAGCAATTCTGGAATGTGTCTGGAGCAACTTCCAACAGAGGCTGAACTCCCACTTGAAGGCTATACCTCAGTTGCCTGGTTCAGGAGGCAGCCAGAAACTCACCCACAATTTTGTCTCGCAGCATGGAGAGCTGGTTTTCATCGAGTTCTCGTTGGCCAACAGACAAGAACTGCCAGCTCAGAACCTGTGACAGCTGCTGCCAGGTGAGGGGAGGAGGGTTGGCAAACAGCATCAGGTTCTGAAGAACAAAATGAGAGATTTTATGCAGGTTTTGTGGCGAGTATTTGAAACTGTGGATGTGTCTTACAGGTCCAGTGTGTGAGATTTAGGTGAAAGGAATTATGATGACGGGATTAACCGGTTTTACGATAACAGCGGTTTGATAACGTCACGATTTCATAACCGTAAGAATTGTAAAAAGTAGGATATCTAACTATGGTGTCCTGTCTCTCGTGAGTCATATCATTTGTGTGCGCGAGCCACTGAGACGTTAGTTGAGAAGAGGGAACTGACGTAACGGCCTTATTTCCACCAACGCTGGACAAACAACTCCATCAGAGGAGTTCAAAGGGAGAGGTGTGTGTGTGTGTGTGTGTGTGTGTCAGGAGTGGCTGACCAACACCATCATTTCATATCGTGACGACACCCTCCACCCTCCCCTGGACACTAGGTGTCCCTGTTCTTCTTTTCCCTGAGCCGTAGGTGGAGGTGACGTCGGCTACAATCAGTGCACACAAGTCGCAGGTGTGCACTGCCCTTTAAAAGGCCTCGCCTCATTCATGTCTTTCTCTTGCGCTGCCTGAGGGACGAGGTTGTCTCCCTGACTCCCGACGGCAGCATCCCTTTGTTTGTGGACACACATTGTGTTATGGTTTCTATCTTGTTTTGTTTGAATAAATGTCTGTAAATATAAAAAGCTGGGTTGTGACCGAATCTATCGGCAAAATTTGTATATAAAATAATCCTAGCGATGTTTTCACTATGTGTGTCATCATCTGAATCGTCCTAATTGCTGTTTTCCTCACATCAGAATGAGCCCTTCATTTTGAAATACTTTATATTTATATCGGGTCCTCTTTAAGGACGCCACCATGTTTTTTTTACAGAAAGTCCAAACTGGTAAACTAACTAAATAACAAACACCATTTGAGTTTTTACGACAACCGAAGTCTACCACAGGTTCTATCTCATGTTTGGAAGGGGAGGGTGAGGTGACTGGTGTTCAGCTGCAACATGCAACTTCACCACTAGATGTCATTGAATTCCACACACTGCGCCTTTAGGCTTCAACTACACACCCTGATATTGTGTATTTGCTGTGTTGAGGTGTAATGGCTTTACCATAGGTTCGCTGCCGGACAACACATTGCACCACATGACCGAGGCCCAGGCAGCGGGAATCTGATTACCGCTGGAGACGACAACCACAGGCAGCGAGCTGGCCTGGGTCAACGAGAGGAGAACATTCAATTTACTGCCTGAACACCGTTTTCCAGTGCTTCACTCAAGTAGAAAATGAAACTGAAATGTCCTTGGTTGTTATTTAAATGTCTTGTCAACTCACCTCGAAGTTACACCTGAGTCCAGCATACTGCAACTCTGTCACAAACTTAATGATGTGGAGTTCTTCAGTCACTCCCACTCGACCCTGATAAAGGAAGAATAATAAAGGAAGAATAGCACATTGTTTAAGGAGGGTAAGAAATCTGGCAATGTAAATATTTGTAAGCAAAGAAGCTTCATAAAAATAAAGTCTAATACTACATAACAAAATGATGCAGTATGTGTCTTTTTTTCCCTCAAAAGAACAAACTGAAATTGGTGCTTTAACATATCATCATCTACTAATCAAGTGAAGGAGTATCAAGTGTTTGTTTATACCTGCAAATTTCATTAAACAATTTATCTCTATTATTATCATTACCATTATTATTTATGTACGTCCTTCTGTCCTTCTGTAATCCATTTATTTTATTCATGTGTGGCACTTTGCATTTTAACCATTTGTTTTCTTTTTCTGTACTTTATGTTGAAAACTGATTTGTATTCAAGTTATTGATATAAATGTCTCTTCTTACCTCACGTTTTAATGGGCTTTCCTTGAGTGACTGGAAATGTAAAAAAAAAACAATATTTAATTGGTTCAAGTTGTTCATATATACAAAGTGCTTGTTCAATGAAAAACATTTTAAAAAACTATATTTCATACCATGTGAGCAAATTCTGCCACCAAGCCTCCGCCAGGTGTGTCCACATCCAACACCTTACTGTCATCTCTGAGGAAATGAAACTGACGGAGCCTACAAAACATATGTGTACATAAGTCCATGTCTTAATAAGTGATTAGCTTACATTTGAAATAGTTTTCAGTAACGATTACCTACCCGTTCATGGTCAAGATTTCTTCAACATCCCTGAATTTTACGAGAAATATACGAAAACAAGAGGATTTGTCAGAAAACACTGTTATTCAAAGGGAAAATTTAATATAACAAGCTAAATTGTAAAAAGGGACACATGCGTTTATAGAAAATAAAAGTAATGTACTATATCACTGGATCTTTGACTTACTTGTCAAATACAGCATTGACTTTGAGCCGGCCCTTGAATTCTGGGAGGTTTGCTAAGAACCTGAGAAAAAAATCAGTTCTTAAATAAAATTAATCTTTCAGTCAGTGATGTCCCCTCAGTAACCCCCAAACAATAATAAATATACTGCTGATGAGTCATGACCTCACACAGCCCTAAAGCTTGTATTTGGTAGTTTATTGGTGAAGTAGTGATTGTGTGGATTAGGAATGTCAAGATATGAAATGTTGGTGCCACGATTATTGTCAGAGGAAATATCATGGTTCACGATATTCTACGATATATTATTGTTACTATGGAAGGAAAAAGACACACAACTAGGGATGTCACAATATGACATTTTGGTGCCACGGTTTCACAGTTTTCACGTTTATCGATATTATAGAAGAAGAAAAAAATCAGAACAAGCAATATATAGCTAATAATAAAGCTTATTTATTATTATAATCAACTTTATCCCGTTAGTTTTTATAGTGTAACATTTATCTTATTGTGGAAGGTTGGTCACTAAATTTTTGTTTCCTGTTATAAGCTGTGTATGTGTGGGAGTTTTATTTTGAAGGGTCAGCAATGGAAGTTGTTCTGTTGACTAGTCAAGCCACATTCTTCATGTCCTCACTATGCTATTACCTCTCAGTACAGGTGAATAAACTCTCGGCTACATTTATAATGTTTAATAGGAAGAGAGAGGGTGTAACTAAGAAGCTAATTATGTTGCAGAAGTGATGTGTTACTAGTGTGATCAGGCTGATTACAGCTGCAAAGACCAAACTACTAATGACACAACAGTAACTAGAAAAGCACACAGCCATTACAATAACAAATTACAAGATCACAGATGGTGACTTTTTGACTCTTAAGAGATAAAAAGTACTTAATCTTGACATTTTTCACAATAGTCGCTTAATTTAGAAAACAACATTACAGTAAAGCAGTTGCTGTGTAACTACATCTAATTTCTTATAAACTAGATGTGAAATCACTCAATAGTAGAGAATAGTTCATTCAAATATATAACACATGCAGGTGCATCCCTACCGAACTGTCGCTGTGAACCGTACTCCAGTCTTGACTATTAGAGGTCGTTGTTGCAATTTCGTCATGACAGGCTGTTTCTCAACCACTAGAGCGCTGTAATACAAGACCACAACAAAACATGTGAAAAATGACCAAAGTGTGTGTGCTGTATATTATATAGATGAGTCCTGATGCCACGTCTCACTTTACAAGAAGGTTTTGGAGCAAGGATTGTGCAAACTTCCCAGGTTCCCTCAGGGGGATGGAGGCATCAGTGTAGTTGTACTTCTTGTTCTGTTCTTGTAGTTTCTGCAGCTGCTGGTTAACTTGTATTAGAATACCTGCCACAGTGGTGAACCTGCACATAGGAACACACACACAGAGAACACAGATCTGTCAACAAGTATTAAGTGTTATGGTCAGAACAGAAAGATGCTACACACAAACACACACAAAGTAGCCGAGTCAACGTGAAATCAAATGTGAAAGGTCGGTGTACTGCTGGGGGTCTCTTTACGTTCTCACCACTTCTGGAGGTGGTCCAGACTGGTGTCGACTGGACTTCCAATGCAGGACAGCTGCTGTCTGCGCTTCCACTCCGGCAGCTCGACATCAGTGAGAGCTGCTACTATCTGCTCTGCCCGTTTTAACATTTTCACTATTTCCAGAAGCACCCTCTACAAAAAAAACAGGAAAGATTGTGTATGTTTCTATATCTTATATAGAAGTGTTTTACAGTGTAAACCGCTTCTAGTGACCATGGGTACAGTGATCAACCGTTTATATGGTTGGGAAAGCTTTGGACAGAATCGTTCTAGTGGAAGCCCCTCCTACCAGACAAACCATATCAATTAACAAATCTTTATCAGATATGACATTGAAAAATATATATTTATAGCCTTCAGCATTTCACCCGACCTAGCCTGTCACAGAAATATCACACTATATTAGATGGGCATTTAAAATAGTATTTCTGTGATATCATTTAAAACACCCCTCTGGACTGGCTTTTATGTGGTACACTCCAGATTCCCCTCTCCATAAATGGAGTTGGAATCTCCCACTTCCTGTTTGTTAGTGGGACCAGGACCCTGCATGAAGGTGAGGGAGGGTGGATATAACATCACAAACACATGCACCCAAAACATTTAATAACAATAAATGTTTGTGAAATAAAACTGTGTGTCGTTGAGGTTATTTCTGACTATTGGTTGTGGACTCTGTGTATCAGCACAGTTTAGAAAGATTAAATGGTTTGTGAGTAATAGCTTAACAAGCTACCATGCTGCCTAATGATACAGGCATGCTAATGCTACTGATATGCTGCAAATAATGGTGTATATTAAGTGTTTGCCACCTTATATCTTACAGGGCATGGGGTAACCCTATGACAAGCTCCATTGAGAAAAATTAAATAAAAGCCAAACAACAGAAATGACCTGCAATTGTAACACTCACTGCTGTGCACTGTGCCATAATAAGTATTGAATGAATAAAAAATGGAGATTACTTCATACAGATATGTTTGTGCCACGTCAATGACAACAACTCAAAGAGTCATCTACAGTACCTCTTTTTTTTGTAGGATTAAATTGGCCTGGTTGAGACACTCCCCTTTTACAGCATTGTGGGACTGGGCCGATCCGACATACTGCTCCTCTGATAAAGACAAACGAGGTAAACATGAAGCATGAACTCATTCCTAAACATCTGCTGTTTCCTCACATCTGCTGCCATACCTTTGCTTTGCCAGGTTTTCTCTAAGTAGTCATAGTTTTCATAGAGGACCTCCAGTGACTTTATCTCCTTTTTTAGCATCTGCAGTAAAGTTCACAAATGTAAAGACAATAAAGCAAGATTCTCCAGGATGACTTTCTGATGAAATTTAAAGGTACAGTGTGTAGAATTTTGTGATATCTAGTGTTGAAATTGCATGTTGCAGCTGAACACCCCTCACCTCACCCTCTCCTTCTAAACATGAAAAAGAAACTGTGGTAGCTTCAGTTGTTATAAAAACTCAAAAGGTGTTTAGTTTGTCCAGTCTGGACTAATGTAAAAAACATGGCGGCCTCTGTAGAGAGGGTCCCCTCAATGTAAATATAAAGTATTTCAATATAAAGGACCTTTTCTGGGGTAAAGAAAACTACATTTCAAACAATTTAGATGAAATGAACTAGTGAAAACATCATGAGGATTATTCTGCATAAAATTTCTGCCAATAGATCCTTTTCACCTAAATCTTACACACTGGACCTTTAAACAAATAAGTAATCACAAAAAAGACAGAGTGAGTTTACCAAAGTCTGTTGTTTCAGCTCATTTATTCCGTTGTCCAACTCTCGCCATTTGTGCTCCACAGCTGGACTGCTACAACCCTGAGAAAGAAAAAAAAGGTGTCTATTTTAGACAGAAGTGCATCTGTTTCTTGTTTTTGACTAAATATAAATGTAAACAGAAGGTGTTATTCATTACCTCCACCTAGGACGTTATGTTGTTTGTTGGTTTATTTATTTGTTATAAGCAAGATTACACAAAAACAACAGAGCATATTGCCATGAAACTTGATGGAACGATGTGGTATGTGTCAGGGAATTTGACATTGATAATGATAGCCATGAAATGTTCACATCCGGATCAGGGGGCAGGAATTTTCTTTCACTTTCTTAAACATTGTGAGATATTGCGGTTTTCAACATATTCAACATTCTCTTGATTGAATTTCGACTGTTGGGCCCTGGTGGAGGTACGCACTGTACTGAGAGCCACTCTAGTTTTACCTGTTCTGGAGAGGTGGAAGCCAGGATTTTCTTTTCTTCTCGCAGACATTCAGAGAGGATAATGGCCAGGTTCAGTGGCTCATCGTGAAAGTGTGTCTAAGTAATAATGAATAAATCCAAAAGAAAAAGTTGTGTCAATTCTCTCAATAACACATACAGTACATTTGAGGATGCTCCTACAAAGAGACATCATCAAAAATGTAGCACTGATACAGGACGTCTTCCCTACCACCAAGTAGTTCTTCATCCCTGGAAAATCAGGGCCACACAAAATGTTGCTCTCCTGAACAAAGTAGTTCCACTGTTGTTCCAAATACTCCAGGAGTGCATGGAAACAAGCTCTTGCTTTATTTACATCCACAGCTGCTGCATCCCTAAAGCAAAGCAACAGAAATATCTACTTTAAATGAAGGCTTGCATGGTTTTTAACATGTGCTCAATGAGAAGATAGACACAATTCAACATAAACACTGAACAGGACAACAAAGTTATTGCATCTTAATATTTCACAGGCTGGTGAGCAAAGACTATAACATAGGGGACATTTCTGAACAGTAAAACGAGGGGAGTTGCCATAATTACTACTAATGGAATCTAGTTCAAACAGGAGGACGAGCTACACCTTCACCAAAGTGGATTTGTAACCTTGGTGCATAAGCGTAATAACATTTTTTTTGTTGCATTCTTAGTACATTCTGCTGTGTCAGTCTTACCAGTCCTGGCTCTCTATGTAGAAGCAGAGGGAGTGACGAATGTGTCGGGGGAATTTTCCCTCGTACAGTTGAGTCAAGTGGCCCTGGAGTGACTGCAACGTGAGCAGCTTCTGCCACTGGGCCATCTGCAAGTACCCAACACAAACAGTGACCATGCAGCCCACTGACCGTCACTGAGGACAGCCAGAGGTTTCACAGGCGTTCGCTCAATCACATCACTTTTACACTAGTTTAACATTGCGACACTGGTGAAAATATTACTCCATAGTTCCATTTAAATAAACATAAAGATTTGTAAACAGTGCATGCATATTTACCAACCAAGGTATTTTTGATGAGAGGAGGATCTTCTGTATTATAATTATAATAATATCAAATTGTCCTCAAATTCATAAAGGCCATGAAACTGTATTTACATTTGGGTTGGACGTGTAGAACTGCCCATAAACTCCGTGCGTTCTCAAAGACATCTCACTAACAGCTTACTAACCATACATAGATGCAAACAAATCTGGAAAGCAAAAGAAAACAAGAAAAACAGAACCATTCAAATCCCACTATGGCGCAGTGCACCGAGGAGTGCGAGACAGAGAGACAGAGAGGGACAGAGAGAGACAGTGCGTTTCATGCTGCGTCTCCTTTCACCAGCCACCAAATAGCAATAAGTTCGTAACGACTATTTAAACAGTAGCACGAATTTCTTCGCGAACATTTCCAAAGATTGCTGTTTGCTGCCTGAACGCCACACACACAGAAACACACACATAAACACACACAGAAACACACACAGAAACTTGCTGCCCGATGAACTCCCCTCTCAAAGCAGAGCCTTCTCTTCCACACACTCAGGAAAACAGGTTACCTTGGGCTTGTCCCTGCAGATTATCCGTGGATAGCGATCGGAGGTGGATCGTCGAACCACTGCGCCCCACTGAGTTGCGTGTGAGCGGCACTGCGCGTCTTCCTGATAGAGGCCCTATTTATAACCTGAGCTCACCCACGCACCACGTGATTCACGGTAACTAAAGTCTCGCTGACTGGTATCAAGCTCACTGTTGTTCAAACTGTTCACTTCCGGCCTCGAACTGCGTGCGTGAGGTTGATGTGCGTGAGGCTGATGTGCGTGAGGAGCTGGCTGAGCACCATGGAAACAGGTGGAAACAGACAAAGTGCTGCAGATCCTCACAGTTTTTAAGCATTTGTTCTTGAACAAAACACATTTCCCAAGGATAATAATCACTGACAGGAACTACAAGGAGAGGTCATATTACTCCTGTGTTAGCTTCTCTACATTGGCTCCCTGTAAAATTCAGAATAGAATTCAAGATCCTGCTCCTCACATTCAAAGCCCTTAACACTGAAGCCCCTTCATATGTCAAAGAGCTGATAACACCATGGATAACTTCGCTCCCTTAACACAGCCTCTCTTGTGTAGTCTGTACGAGTAGAACAGGAGGTATCAGACACCGTCCCTGCATTTCAACTTGAACTTAAAGTGTCCCTGTTTGATGAAGCCTATAGTTAGTTCTGGATCAGGTGAGTCCTGTGTTAGATTAGAGGCTGCTATAGATATAGACTGCTGGGGGAACTCCCATCATGCACTGAGCACGTCTCCACTTCTCTCTGCCCTCACATTTATTAATCTGTTTTACTACATGTCACTGATTTATTTTCCCCCCGCCCATAGTCTTTCTCTCTCTCTGACTCCAAAGCTGCAGGATTCAGACAACAACAATTATTATGATTATTATTTTTATATACTGTTACCATTAATTACATCTTTACAGCCATACATACCAGAGCTGAAACCTGATGCTGCACAACTGTTACTGTAACCCCACCCCAACCACCACCACCACCACAAGCGCACATTTCTCTCACTCTCTAGTAATCACGTGATTCATAGTTAGTCATAGGTATTTTTAATATTGGCTGCTTCCAAAGTAAAAGCTCAAAAGACTTATATTACAAAGTGATATCTTGGCATTGCCATCCCTCCCCGTGGTTGATAGGTGAGCTAACCATGAATGAATATATTAACAGAAAAGCAAATGAATGTGTTTGCAACACAGGTCGCGTCAAATCATTGTGGAACTACCACACAGTGTCCACTGCACCAATTACAGCTTAGTAATACAGAAATAAAAAAGCAAGCTAATATCAACATTGCAGTCAAATTTAACAATTTTAAATTGTCATATATACAATGATAGCCTTATAGAACTTACTCAATAGTTAAAACAATATTATTGAAAACTAGGTTGTCTCTGATCTTCAGTAAAAACACAGTGATGTCAACATTTTTATCAAAAACAATTATGAATGAAAAAACAACACAACCACAAGTAAAAAATCCCATTTCACCACAAAAAATGAACTCTTTCATAATCATCAATATGTTGATGGAAGACTGGTTTCAGGTTAGTGGGAAAACCTTCGATATCTGAATGTGGCTTCACTCTGAGTATGGGGAACTCATCTGTAAAGCAAAGGGAGAAGAGGAGAATTACTTTACATAACTAAAAGGAAAGATACATTATATCTTGAATTTCCCTCCGGGGATTAATAAAGTATTTCTGATTTACAGATCAGTTTTATTGCAACTTTCAGTATTTGCTCGAACCAAAGGACGAAACTGTTTTTAAATTAGTAAATACAATGCTAGAATACAATTTTACTCTAGAGCAAAAAACGTTAATTAGCATTTTAAGACATGTTCAATATTATGGGAAGGACTGACCACCCGAAAACATAATGCCTCTGGCCACTGGCTGTCATCAGCACAGAGGCATGAAAAAACTGAATATTGCCAACATTGTCCTTTATGAAACAAAGTGATGCAGGAGCATGCAAACTTACTGTTTCTATGTCGAAGCACAGATGCTCGTTTAGCATATTAAACTCGCCAGGAGTCATCGGGGGCTCAGGAGACCGGCAAGAAGGTAATGTGGTGCTTGTATTAGAGCTGGAATACAAATTTAAACGATACAAGTTATGGAGAATATGCTGTGGGCTGCACCTGCAGCAGAATGTTAGTAAAATTACAATAAAAAGTTAACCATATAAATATCAGTCAGTACAAAGTGAGCTGAGAATGGGTCTGAGTGTGTGAGGTACTAATAAACTCACCGTAATTCAGAGATGGGGATCAGGGTAGATGATATGTATGGATGGACTGAAAATGTAACAGTGATATGAAAAACATTAGTGTTGTTGTCCACAACTTATTCAGCCAATAAAGATTCATTCTGTAGAAAACATGAACTCTTGAAGACATGGATGTGCGTGCACTCTTGCCTTTGCTGGGCTGACTGTTGTAAAGCCGACCGAAGGCATCGTCTTTGGGGATGTCGGGGTAGAGGAACTTAAGTGGGTTCTCTGGGACGACCCCATCTGAGATCACTTTATAGTCTCGTATGATGTCGGCAAATGGGAGAGCACTAAGCCGGTTCTTAGTATATGGCTCCACAGAGTTGAACTTCACTTCTCCTATTGTAAGAACGTATCATCAATACCAAGGTTTAGCATTGCAGAGAATAAACTAATATATCTTAATTATCTGTGTTGGCTAAACAATCACATTTGTGGGGATTATTCAACTGCCAAAAAAAGAGACCTCACCGTTGCTATTCTCCACCCAGGTAAAAGTTATTCCTCCGAGGTGGCTCTCACTGAAGCGTAAGAGGAAGGTGCCTGGCTCTCTGTCCTTCAGCAGAGAACGCTCAGTCTCTTTACTCACAAAACCCATGATGTAGCTAAAAATAAATAAAAAGATATCCTTGAGCTTGGTACTTTGTTTTTCCTGAGAACTTCTCTATCACATTAGCATTCTACTGATAAGTTGTGGTTAAGTTGAATGACCCTGTTTTTACTGAAACCATTTACAATGCTTATCCATCCATCTATTATCTATGCAGCTTGTTCATGGAGCCAATCCCAGCTGTGCGAGTGGCTGTGGAAAATCCTGGACAGGTTGAGACAACCAACACTGTCACATTCACACCAACGGCCATTTTAGAGTCACCAATTAGTCTAACCCCCTACAGTGTCTATTAAATCAAATATAGTTTATTCAATCTGGATTAATAAATGTATCAGAAAAACAGCCAGAACAAATAATAGTTGCTGCACTTTTAACACCTGTGCCAGTTTAAAGTCAGAATGGTGATTATTATATCTATTTGCATGGAGTGGAACTGGAGTATAGTTTTTCCTGATGTTCTTTGCCATTTGCCATGTTCACTGCAATACAGCAGTTTGACACAATATGACTGAACAGTTCTGAGAGAATGAGAAAGATATAAGCCAATTCCTTAAGATGCTTCATTTCTGCAAATCTGAGACACTGGCCCATTAAACTACATTTTATGCAACACGCCACACATATGGATTTGGTGCAGCTTCTTTATGGAAGGTTCTGGAACATGTAACAGGAGATATCAGAGCTTTAAAAGAAGAATCCTACATTCATCTTCTTTCTGACAGCTAGCTGAGAAGATTAATCCCACTCTTATGACTAAATGCTGAATACTGTTAGCTGTAGCTCTATATTAAGCATGCATATGTGTGGTATCAAGCTTCTCATCTAAACCATGGTAAGAAAGAAAATAAAAGTATTTCATCTCTTACAATATACAAGGCTTCCAGAAACTAGGGATAGTTCACTGAAAATTAAAATTCACTCATCATCTACTCACCACTATGCAGATGGAGGGGTGGGTGAAGTGTTTGACTCTCAGAAGTTAACTTTGCAGCAGCCGAATCCGATACAATTGGAGTCAATGGTGACTTACAATTCAGATGTAATAAAACAGAAAAAAAATAAAATGCCTCCATGCTGCTTGTGTGGTGTTATCCAAGTGTTCACAAGCCCTGACGTTCATATCTGAAACAAGGTCATTTACACTGTGTTTCAAGCCTAAAAGTCCACTGGAAGTCGCAATGCTAGGAGACTTAGCTACACGATGGTGTGTCCGAGGATTCGTGGATGCACCTCGTAGGAAGATATCAGAGGACATTTAGGCTTAAAACACTGTGCGAATGACGACATTTCAAGTTGAATATGAATGATGGGGTTTGCAGACACTTGGATGACACCAAAAGAGAAGTATGGAGGCATTTTATTTTTTTTCTGTTTCTTTTATTACGTCTGAAGTCTAGGTCACCATTGACTTCAATTGCATCGGATCCGACTGCTACAAAGTTAACTTCTGAGACTCCACACGTGTTTTGTGGACTCAAACACTTCACCCACCCCTCCATCTGCATAGTGGTGAGTAGATGATGAGTGAATTTTAATTTTTCAGTGAACTATCCCTTTAAACTAATAGTACTTTGATTTCTCACTAAATAACACTTCCTACATGTATCTTTAGCAAAGTGAAAACAAATACAAATGCACAGAGGATGGGCAGATTCAGATGCGGTGAAGTGAAATGTAGTGAAGATGGACTGAGACAGTCAGTGGCTTACTTCTCATTCCAAACTGGCAGTAAATGTTTCTTGATGAGCTCGAGGATGGAGTCCAACCACATCCAGAAACTGAAGGGCTTTCCTGGAATATTCTCCTTGAAGATGCGCGACACAAAGAGATAGAGAGACGAGGAGCACTCATTTGCCATTCAAACATCACATTGTAGATTAAATATACTGTATGTTTTCAATTTACCACTAGATGGCACCACCATATTTGATTTAAGACCACATGATGCTGTATGTGATTGTGTAATTCAATAGTTACCTTAGAGAACTTCGACCACGACACGTGATAGTCGCTGCAGGAGACGTGCTGACCTACATAAAGATATAGTAAATAACATCCTTGACTTTATTAAGGAATACAACACAAATCACCCCTTAGCCCTACAACTTGGTTCTACCCCTTTGTTTTGAGCATGGCCATTAAGCGGTAGTGTTTCTGTATGTGATGTATGTGTGGCCATCTAGCCCTTCAAACACCCCTTCAACCATAGTGTATTCAGGACCCCCCTAAA